CTCCTTCACTCGCATGGACACCTCTTTGGACCTCATGTTGAGAGTTCCAGTGAACAGCTACTAAATGCAAATGTAACACTCAGAACCACCTCCAGGCTTTTTATCTGTCTGATTGGTCATGGGGTACCCAGGAAACAGGCCACACCTGGCCATGCAGCTGCTTGTCAGCCACTTGTTCCATTACTTATGAGCCACCAACAATCAGGGTGTGTGTATGTCACTGGCTGTACTTCCTGAATTGTTAGTGCCCCGCTTTTGTCAAATCCCTTGAATTACAGCCCCGAGGACCCTGTCCACTTCCTCAGGTCCAACAGGATCAAACCGTTCCCAGATAACTGGGTAAGTCCGCTCCCCGGGCATCTCCCCTGGACCTGCATCATGACTGGCCTCCAACTGAGAATGGATCTGAGCGATTTTATCTGTCAGGTGTTCAGCAAATTCCTCTGCATGGCCCTATAGGTGGTCCTCCAAGTCCTCCCTACCCAGGAGGGACTGGGTGACCCTGAACAGGGCTGCCAGGTGACACCCTGCAGATGCAACAAGAGCAGAGAAATAATGACATTTCACTGCCCTTAACTTACACTCATTTTCAGATACATTCACAATTTATGGTACCCTTCACAATATTTAGTGGGCTGCTAATGAGCAGGGTTTTTGTGCATTTTACTAGAAACATAATTTTGAAAGAATAATTTCATCATGATTTAAATAAATTATTTCTGAACACTAGTACTTAGCACATGGTAAAGCAAATACATAAATAAATGTATTCTGTTTTAAATGAAGAATGGCAATTATTTCACCTTTGATACTTACTGCCATGCCAGAGGAATCACTGTTCCTTGCAATCTCAGCTGCCTTTTCAAGTATCTGCAGAAAATTTAAGAAATGTTTGTATGTGTATATATATATTTATAAAACAATTGAACAAGGTCAAACAATAAAGTTGAACTGGTTTCACTATCTGTGTAGTCTAAGAAAGCACACGTGCATACAGGGAAATGTTATTTACATTGCTCTTTCTATCCTTTGTTCAGTATATAAAACCTGCCCATTATACCATTATGCCTTAACATGAATTAAGTTGTATTGTTTCATTGTAAGAAAATCCACTGCACCAACAATAAATAGAGCTCGGTAACAAAGCTTAAATACTAAAAGAAGAATGCAGACTGAAACAGCATGTTCCTGAACATTTCAGATTTATACTGGCTGGAATCATGCACTCTCTTTTAACTAAAGGAGAAGGAAGCTTATAGCCCATTAATCCTTCGAGCTCAATATCAATGCTGATTGTAAAAACTCTACCTTGCAGCCAGGAAGTTTTACCCAGATCTACCTAGAGATGCCAAAGACTCAGCCTGAGACTATTTTGAATGCAAGGCTCTATGGGGACAGGTTTACAACTGAAAGAATTTAACCTCAAATTGCTCATGGTTTCAAACTCTTAGTTCATTTGCTTCAGTATGTCTAGTAGAATTAGGTAGCAGAAGTAGGAGAATGAAAATAGGTGTCAAGTTGGGCCGAATTCTGTACCCGTCTCCAACCTAGACAATGTTTCTGGTATCTTAGTCAGGCTGAAGTCAAGCATGAAGTCAGCTTTAAAAGTGGAGCTGACTGCAGTCATGCTGGAATAATGAATTATAATATTTTTTATGTTTATTTAGCTCTTCAATGTGGAGGCAGAAGAAACTTCATTTTGATAGGCAGAAAATTCTCTTCTCTTCCACTTACTTCCTCCCTTAAAAAACAAACATATATTCCTCAATATTCTCCCAAATTAATTTTTTTAAAGGAAACAATTGATTAAAATCAAAATATATTATTATGGCATGGAATTATTTCAAAAAATAATGTAAAGCTACTGAATGGATATGACTTTTTTTTTCAGTCAGTTTTTTCTTTTTTCTTTGTATTTAGACAGCCATTTGGGCATCTTGTCAATTTAAAGTTTCTAAGTTGTACCTGTGGCATTGTTTCATTTTTCAGCCACTTCTATAGGCAATGTAAAATATCCCCCCTACATATGGCAGAAACAACAGAGATTTTCTACCCAAAGACAAGTGCAGATTCAAACCATTTGCACCGCATTTTAGATGTTATCAGCAATGGTGGATTTACATGAACCCCCTCACATACTGAAGCATACATATGGATTCTGCAACTACACAGTAGCTTATCTGGAGATTTTGAGCTCAAGATTTCTGGTAGAAACTCTGCTAACCCATATGCAGAGAAAGAATTCAACCCAAACATTAGTTCTGAAGTAAATTACATAGATTCAGAGCTAAGTGACTATCCTTATATCTCATTACAGAGGATAAGCAAGCAATGTGAATTCACAGATGGCCACTCAAAGAACAGTTATTGGTGAATGGCCAGTTCTTCATCATAGTCTCTGTGATTTACATATACAGGTATAAACTAAATAGCTATCCTACCCATGGGCAGGATTCCAATCACATCAAGATTAAGACTACAATGACTCTGCCAAAGGCTGCATTTTTAAAGGAGTGAAGATCCAAACTATAAAGCAACGTAAGCGTCAAAGTTTGGGGCCATACGGAAGCCCAATAGATATGCCTCTGAAGAAGACAAATCAACTGCCTTTAAACAATGAAGGGAAACCATACAAAATGTAAATATTCATAAATAATCACCCTCATCTCTGAGGTCTTATTGACCTAAAGCCCCATTTTTTTTCCTAGACAAAATAAATTATGTGGAATAACATCCAGTGCCAGAATGGCTAAGAGGAACTACTTCATAAAGTAGAGACTTTCTTCTAGACCACGCAGAGGTGGAGGGGAGACAGAGTTCAAAACACACCACCCTCGCCCTATTCAGCTGGTAAAACCCCTTTGTATTGTCTTGGTCCAAACATGGAACAATCAAAATGGTCAGGGTTTTGATTTTGTCAAATCACACAATATACTACTTTTGGGTTCAAATCCAACACATTTTCTATCTTGTGCACATCCCCAGGCTTCATCTAATGGGGACAGACTCTAGGTTCTGGCAGCATAGGAAGGTCAGACTGAGCATTAGTCAGGACCGCAAGAGGCTTCACTTTTGGCTCAGACAGGTGCTTGGGGCCCAGTGCCTCAGCATGCAAAGCTAGTTTTGGACAGCGAAGTTTCTGCTGGAACCCTATTTGCTAGATGGTTGAACTAATTCTGCTTGGGATGATGACAAAGGATGCTGGTATGCATAGCATGGGAGGGTCAGTGCTGCAAGGAAGTGATCTCAGAGGGACATGTCAATGCTAAAAGATACCTTCCTTCATGGATTCTAGAGACTTTGCAGAAAATGGGAACAATGATTGTAGACATGATGAAACTATGAAAGACAGAGATGCCTGGTCATATTGCTGCTGTGTCTCATTCAAAAATAACAGCATAGATGTTATATGTTTACTGTGGCTGGCTGAAGAAATGATATAGGATTAAGAACAAGAATGACAACTGGCTGGAAAAAAGTTAGAGACTAAATAAGGGCAGGTGATCTCTTTGCAATATCAAAATTTTGTAGCAATCAAGATGGAGGCAGAATAGGACAGGCATTGGTGACACTATTGATGCCTCTAATGCCAGTGCGACTGAACACAGACAGAGGAACAAGAGTTTTTGAGTTTCTTCTTTTTCTGAAACTTCTATCCTAAAGATTGCCTACATTTTCTACAGCGTACAATTTACAAAGAATTGGAGGTGCCAAAAGTTATTTCACAGCTAATGTTGCTGAATCTATGGCACTTAAGACCTATTCCGACAGGGATGTGAAGAACAATTTTTCTGGGCCTGTTTAGTAAAAGCCTGGCAGTGAGTGCATGTATTAATTACATAGCTTTTGCCTAAACAAATTCAAGGCCAAATAATGTCAAAGTCCTGAAGAACTTCTACTATGGCAGCCAGAAGAGGACTGAGGTTGAGGGGGACTCTCATCTATTTCTATAGTAGGTACTATGGGTGCGCAGTGCTGTGAAATATTATCAGCCCTTCAAGGTGAGCCAGATGAGGAAGCAGACACCATAAGATCTACTGGAACTCTACTTTATTGTTGTGGGGTAAAATAACAAAACCTTGAAACCCTAACAGATATTCTCTCTCCGTTCTTTTATACCAAAGAGAATCAAGACAGAGAGATTTTGAGTTTCTTCCTCACTCCCTCCTCATTTCAGAGCTAAGCTGGTGTTTATCTAATGGCTGTTGAACAACTTCTTCAAGGCCATCTTCTACAGCTACTGGGCAGGAATAAAACTTATGTGAATCAGACACGTTGAAAAAGAATGTGGCATTTAACTTAAACTGAACCACTGATTTTGACTGCGGTATGAAGAAGGCACTAATACAGGGATAAAAATATATTATTTTTTTCCAGATTTGGTTGATATTATGTACACTTTTAATTCAAGAAATATACAACTTTATTTGGGACTTATGGAAGTGAAAGCATAAGCAAAAAATTAATACAATTCCTAATTTCTTACCTTATCAAAAGGGGGGTAATAAATAGGAAATTTTGAATATTCCTGAAATCTGATTTGCAAAGTTGTTGCATTTTCAGTGTATGGGTTAGTCTGTACCGTTCCCATTGGATTCAACATTTCTTCAAGTTCATCTAGGTAACCAGAGTAATACACATTTTGTTTAATTTAAGAGCATTAAATCTGTAGCTATATAAGCCCATTTCAAAATCCTCATGGTTAGTTTCCAGTGCTAAATATACAGAGGTAGATCTTTTTAACTGAATTGCTTCCACAGGGGTCAAGAGAAGTATCACTGCAAAACCCTCAAAGAAACAGAGACCTACCCTCCCAATTTTTTGGATGGAATTGAAGACTTGGCTCTGCCAACTTGCCTGGGGCGAGGAAAGATACAATCGACCCTGGGGATGGCTGCCACCTTGATGATGCTCCCTGAGTTTATGAAGACCTAATTAACATCTACCTCTTGGAAGTATTATAAAGGAAATGTGTTTTAACATATTTTAATTAATTAATATTTATCTATTTTAATGAATATTTATTCTATTTTTACTGTAAACCACCCAGAGTCATCCCACAGTGAGATGGGCGGTGACAAATTTGAAATATAAATAAAATAAATAAATAAATGTAATTCCACCCAATTCTAAACTAACGGAAGTTAGATGGAAATGTAAATATTCTGAACAGAGGTGTGTAGAACAGTTCAAGGCTGAAACCTCCTGACCATAAAATGTCCCATTCTGACTTCATTGGAAATGTTCCAATGTCAAAATGGTCTGTATGACATTACTGAAAGTTCCACCTCCACTTCATAGTTAGAATAGCATTTTTTGAGGCTGGGTCACTTGTATTACAATCAGAATGGGATGTTTCAAAATTGGAATGTTATCTGCCTTAAAATGTTTTGTATGCCTGTATTAAAATAAGCATAGGTAGTATATTTATTCCATTTCTGACTGTATTTTTGCACAAATATTTGTTCTCCACAGAAAGTAATATAACCTGTTCATGAACTTGCTCAGCAACCTTTCTCCCTTTTTCATTCACACACACACATTGCCCCATTCATCATCTTACTCTTAAACAAAATGCAATGACAGTGTAACAAGTATACAATAATACTTTCAACCTGTTTCAATGGAGATGGAGCCTTTAAGAGGTCTACTAGGGAAGGGCAGTGCTTTAAATTTAATTTTCAAAAAGTGGTTCAGAATGTGCACTACAGTAAATGTAGCACCTATCTGCAACAACTTAAAGCTTCTACATCTTTTCTTGGGAACAACACAGCAGCTACCCCTCCCCTTGCAAAGGTTAAGTATTAACCCAGCCACCATAACCCATCTCTAACACAGAGCAAGTCTCTACCACTGGCAGTCAAGGAGATGTAATAGCTGGGAAAGATTTCATCATAGGGGAAGAAGGTCCTATTTGGGATTGAATGTCATTCCTGTCAGTATTTCATGATCAATATTCTAATTTTTTTATAACTATACACTACATATCTTCATCCTGTTCTCTAGTACTGTCTGAATCATAATCCAATACTGCATGCCTTTCATTCCAGAGGAGCTGCTGTAGGCAGCCCAAGCAAATCAGCCCCTCTGAAATCAGTTGAGGCTATGCAGGAGCCCATATAGTAAACTTCAGTCTCACCAGGAAATGATGACCAGCTGTGCAAGAGAAGGTCTCCAGATTTTAATTGTCCTTTAAAATCAAATACCATAGTATTGACCCATGCCACAGGATAATGCTGCAAAGATAAACCATACAATTTGAAGATTAAATCCAAGGGAGTACAGCAACACTCAGATATGCATGATTGATGAAAAAGAAAATTGTTACTAATTAAGTTGCTGATTTGGGGGAAAAATCTAGAAAGACATTCAAGAGTAATATAGCTTGAACTATGGGAAACGACACCCAAGCACAAACTGCAGCAAAGTTATGATCCCACCGATTGACTAGCCCTATTTTCTCAATGGGATCTATCTCAAAGCATTGTTATGAGGACAAAAAGATAATTAGTGTGAACAGTGAACTCCTTGACAGAAAAGATGCAAGTGTAAATAAATATAGAATAAACATTTAAGAAAAAATACAGAACCATTAGCTTGAGTCAACCTAAAGGTGAATGACTCAAATAATTAATACAATAAATATATTCAAGTTGATTATAGTTAAATATTAAACTTCTTAATATGATAGACCAGCTTGACAGATATTTATCTTAAATTTAATCAGCCCAATAATAGATCTTCTTTATAGGATGACATGTCTTTGTCTTTTGAGACTATAAAAATATTTTAGTGCACAAAACACATATAGAAATGCCAAGATTCATGTTTATTACAGAAAACACTAGGAAAATACTAATATAGTCTAAGTAAATGTAAAATGTGAAGTGTTGAAACAACCTGAAATCTCAAACACCAGTTTCTTTTATTTGAATTATAAGTACAGGTAGTCCTTGACTTATGACAGCAATTGGGACCAGAATTTCTGTTGCTAAGGGATGCGGTCATAAAGCCCAACTGCATCACATAGTGGCGGCAATCCCTGCAGTCCTGGTTGCTGTCATTAACTGAATCCCACGGTGGTTAGGTGAGGCAACTTCCTGCTGACTTCCTACAACCAAAGTCAGTGCGGAAGCCAGCAGGAAGTTACAAGGCCCAAGCTCAGGCCCAGGGTGCGTGAGAGGCATTGGATGGGTCTGGGAATGTGGGCGAGAGGTGCAGCACAGGGAAGGTCTGGGAGGGTGCAAGGGGGTGCATGAGAGGCACAGCGTGGATCAGGGAGGGTGTGTAAGAGAATCACTGCGAGGGCTGGGGAGGGTGCGCGAGAGGCGCAATGCAGGTCGGGGTGTGAAAGAGAGGTGCCACACAGGTTGGGGAGGGTGTACAAGAGGTGCCATGGGGATTGGGGGGCTGTGAGGGAGGTGCTTCAAGGGCCAGGGAGGGTGCAGGGGGTGTGCAAGTGGTGGCGCGGCATGAGCGCAGAGGGGCTGGGGGAGGGTGCGCGAGTGGGGGTGTCCTACCCCAGCGAT